CGCCCCTGCTGCGCCTCTTCCCACCCGGTGGCTTTAACCCGCCGATCCCCCCCCCCCGCCTTCCCCGGCTCCCTCCCGCAGCCTAATCCCCGCCAACTGCCGCAGCAGCGCCGCCCCCCCCTTCTCCCTCCCCTACCCCGGTGCGGAGGGCGGGACGGAGCCCCGGGGAACCGGCGCAGTCACCTGATACCCCGGCTCGGGACGGCCGGGCCTGGCCCGGTACCGTAGGGCACAGCCCCCCTCTGCTTGCTTTCCCCCCCCTTCCAAAGCCTTCCCTGTCGTATTCCACCCCTCCGCCCCTCCACGCCTCTTAAAGGAGACACCCGCTTAAAGGTGTCCGCACCGACACCCCCCCGCGAAGGTGCTTCTCCCCCTGAGGGGGGAGCCCGCCGGGGGAGCCCTGCCGGAGGCCCTGGGGGATGTGAGGGGAGCTGGAGCCACTGAGGCTTCTCCCCCCCGTCTGCAGCACCTATAATAGTAACACACCGAGGGACCCCAAAACTAGCACAGGGGATAGATCTCTCCAGAACCTTGCTGTGGGGGTGTTGCTCTTCCCTAAAATGTCAAAAATACATCCCTCAGAAGGGTTCTCTTTCCGTTAGCTGAGGTACCCTAAAGGTCACATTCCCAGAAGGGTCCTCCTTCCGTTATCTGAGGTACCCTAAAAGTCTAGGTGACTTGGTGGTGTTGCTCTTCCCAAAAATATCCCAAATACATCCCCAGAAGGGTTCCCTTTCTGTTAGCTGAGGTACCCTAAAAGTCTGGGTGATTTGGTGATGTTGCTTTTCCCAAAATTATCCAAAATACGTCCCCAGAAGGGTTCTCTTTCCGTTATCCGAGGTACCCTAAAAGTCTGGGTGACTTGGTGGTGTTCCTTTTCCCAAAAGTATCCAAAATACATCCCCAGAAGGGTTCCCTTTCCGTTATCTGAGGTACCCTAAAGGTCACATCCCCAGAAGGGTCCTCCTTCCATTATCTGAGGTACCCTAAAGGTCTTGGTGACTTGGTGGTGTTGCTCTTCCCAAAAATATCCAAAATACATCCCCAGAAGGGTTCCCTTTCCATTATCTGAGGTACCCTAAAGGTCACATCCCCTTAAGGGTCCTCCTTCCGTTATCTGAGGTACCCTAAAGGTCTTGGTGACTTGGTGGTGTTGCTCTTCCCAAAAATATCCAAAATACATCCCCAGAAGGGTTCCCTTTCCATTATCTGAGGTACCCTAAAGGTCACATCCCCTTAAGGGTCCTCCTTCCATTATCTGAGGTACCCTAAAGGTCTTGGTGACTTGGTGGTGTTGCTCTTCCCAAAAATATCCCAAATACATCCCCAGAAGGGTTCCCTTTCTGTTAGCTGAGGTACCCTAAAAGTCTGGGTGATTTGGTGATGTTGCTTTTCCCAAAATTATCCAAAATACGTCCCCAGAAGGGTTCTCTTTCCGTTATCCGAGGTACCCTAAAAGTCTGGGTGACTTGGTGGTGTTCCTTTTCCATATATTGAAATACACACACACCGAGGTCATGAAGGGAAAAGGGTTCTGAGGTACCCTAAAGGTCACATCCCCAGAAGGGTCCTCCTTCCATTATCTGAGGTATCCTAAAGGTCTTGGTGACTTGGTGGTGTTGCTCTTCCCAAAAATATCCAAAATACTTCCCTCAGAAGGGTTATTTTTCCGTTATCTGAGGTACCCTAAAGGTCACATCCCCAGAAGGGTCCTTCTTCCGTTACCTGAGGTACCCTAAAGATCACATCCCCAGAAGGGTCCTCCTTCCATTATCTGAGGTGCCCTAAAGGTCTAGGTGACTAGGTGGTGTTGCTCTTCCCAAAAATATCCAAAATACATCCTTCAGAAGGGTTCCCTTTCTGAATATCCAAAATACATCCTTCAGAAGGGTTCTCTTTCTGTTATCTGAGGTATCCTAAAGGTCTAGGTGACTTGGTGGTATTGCTCTTCCCAAAAATATCCAAAATACATCCCTCAGAAGGGTTCTTTTTCCATGATCTAAGATGCCCTAAAGGTCTTGGTCACAACACAGCCTCAATTTAATGGTGTAATTAAAGCCTAACGGAGCAAGGGACGGAGAACTGAGAATTGTGCCACACGTCTATTGCCACAAATCCTCCTGAAACTTAGTTTGGGAGGAAGGTGATTTTAAGTTGGGGGACAGGGGAGCTCCTCTAACCCAACCGGCGCTGGTAGCAATGACTTCCTGCTGCCCTTAGAACAAATTTTGGAAGGCGATGGCAGTGCGTGTCATTAATTAGTTGGGGGGGGCGGGGAAACAGCATGTAGGGTCAGTTCTGGAAGATTTGTGCCTGTGAAGCCATAGTTGGGTTGCGTTGTGTCCAGAGACACACGGCACCTTTCCATTTCTTACCCCAGGAGCAGAACGCTGGTGAGGGGTTGTCGTCTGTGAGAGTATGAATCAGCAGCTTTTTTACTACTTTGTTATTTTTTAACCTAACAACCACGAGATTTTAAAAGTCCTAGGTAGCCTGGAAGCTTGAGAACCCTGTTAAAACAATGCTCAAAAGTTGAAGTTACCGTTTCTATGGAAAATGGCTTCCAAGACGACTCTTCAAATGGTGCCTGTGTCCGCTGCAGAAAGGTGTTTGGATTTGCAGGCTTTCAATGTTGGTGAAATCTCCATCATTTCTACAGAGCAGACAAGACATTTGGGTTTCTCAGATGCAGTGGTTGAATACAGAGAGGGATTTCAAAAAAGACGTAAAGCGTTATGTTACTAATTGCTATCAATAAGCATCAGGGAACTTTGAATGTTCCCATAAGCGATTTTCACATTCCAACAGTGAGAAGGTTGTACAACCACAGCGTCTGTGCGTGTCAGCTCCAATTGGTCATGAGTGAATTACCAAGTGAATAAATGCTGGAGTTGCACCGAAAGTCCAACAGTGAGAAGGTTGTACAACCACAGCATCAGTGTGTGTCAGCTCTACTTGGTCATGAGTGAATTACCAAGTGAATAAATGCTGGAGTTGCACCGAAAGTTCATGTTTTAGAATCATAGAATGGTTAGAGTTGGAAGGGACCTTAAAGATCATTGAGCTCCAGCCCCCCTGCCCTGGGCAGGGACACCTCCCACCAGACCAGGTTGCTCCAAGCCCCATCCAGCCTGGCCTTGAACCCCTCCAGGGATGGGGCAGCCACAGCTTCTCTGGGCATCTACAGGTACTTCATGTCCCATTAGTGGTGTTACAAGTGACTCTGAACTCTTCTTGGTAATACTGATGGGGGTTTTGAATGGCTTGACTTTCCAAAAGATGGGAGGCTTCTTTTTAACTGGTATATTATAGAGAAAAAAATACACAAGCTGTTTTGGAGTTTCCTGGTTTGACCCAGCAGAAATTTAGAGCGGCTTTACTTGCCACAGGCAGGATCGTTTCTCACTCTATGCCAGGCAAAGTATTTAATTGGTGATGCAACCTTTCACTCATGTCTAGTGTACATCTTCTGAACCAAGATTAACCTGAAGCTCTGGGTACTTGCTGGAGTAGTCCATATTCTTACCAGCAGGTTGTGTCATGGACGTTCTTGTCTGTGTCACCAAATACTCAGCTCATTTTATATTTTCATACTGTCAAAATATTTAAGCAAAAGATAAGTTAGACAATTTGTACTATTGCCTTAAAAACGCATGTATTGTGAACTGAATTTAAATGCAAAGAATAAAGAGGTCCTCCAGTCTTTTGGTTATAAGCAGCAGGTTGCCAGGTCGTGGAGTATGCAAAGGAGCACACTGCATGATTGCAATTACAGAAGCATTATTAAGATGCTAATTTACCTGCCCTTACTTGCATATTCAGCAACAAATAACCAGTGCCATGAATAAAAAGGACAATGAGAATTTGTCTTATTTACATCTGCACCGTGTTTGGTCGGTACCGCTCTACACGGGGCTCCTCGGGGTTTCTTGCCACAGTCCAATGGATGAACTTCCATTGACCTCTGTGTACAGAGATTTTATTGAACAATACCAGGACCACTTGACCTTGAGAGGTTCGAGAGGTATTTCAGACAAATCTCATCCTCCTCTGAATTTCTGACGCATTATGGTCTTTCTGAAAACCTAAGATGCCTTAAGAAGATGAGACAAGAAGAAAGCGTCGATACTCTTAAAATTCAGAGTAGAGGGATGTGACCTACTGAAGGTGTATTGCTTTTGGATTTCAAACCAACCACCACCCCCCAAATAAAAATCCCAACAACTCCACAAAACAGGAGGTCAGGTTTGTAATAAAAGCCACACAGAAAAATAGGAAGCTACTTTAATAAGGAGAGACCACGGAGGCATCTGCCCAGGCCTAAATGGAGAGGGGCTTGGGGTTACCATTTGATAATGGTAGTTTTGGACTCGGTCCTGAGAAGTCACCTGGTGTGGTGGCCCTGTGAATTCCAGGTTCACAGCTTGGCTGGTGGGATGCACCAGGAGGTCTAGACGAGGGTCATAAAAGCAGTTGGAAAGGGTTCTTGCTGTTAAGAATAACCCAAATTGTGGGGTTTTTTTCCTTGACTGTTCATAACTGTGCTTTCAACTACATAATGAAGACCCTGAAGTAGAGAAGACAGATTAATGACGAGCTGAACAGCCATTTTGAGACAAATGCTCAAAGACAATTCTTAACTGATTTTGAAACTAGAAAAAAAGAGTCAGTCTGTGTTAATCTCACCTTCAGATACCCATGAGGCATGTGTAGAGGATGCTTCATCTCACCTCACACTGGAATTATGCACCACAGATGCCTGTGTCTCAGGTGATGGACTGAGACATGTAGGACTCTATTTCCTGCACTTTAAGTTATGGCTTTCTCGCCGTATTTCTGCTTTTTGTTTGTTTGTTTGTTTCCTGGTTTTTACTCTCGGATCTTCCAGTTCTTCAGCCAGCTTTGGTGCCCTTTCCTCCTGCCTTCACAGCCCAGGCAGAGGTTAAGACCCTACTTGTTCATGCCCAGCACTGCTGCTTTGCTTCTCCCTCTTGCTCTTAGATCTCCCGGAGATGCTGGCTGTAACCATAGTGATAGCAGAGTCCTGAACACATCCCTTTAGCTCTGGGAAGGGGGAGAAAAGGACTTTTCAAAGGAGGAGGACCCTCTTGACTTCCTATTATCTTGATGGAGCCAGGTAGGTAGCAGTACCTTCCCCTTACAGCACATCCAGCAGAAGTTGCAAAACACCAGTAGATACCCAAATCATATGACACCCAGGAGTTTCTATGCTTTTGCTGTTAAATATAACCTCATTGCTT